AATAACGTGGGAGGGGACGAGGGGGATCTGTTAGTGCTTGTGACTTTGTGTTTCCTGAGTGAAGCAGTGGACGCTGCAATTCAGCTGCACAAAGTCTGCTGTGTGATGAGGCGCACTCATTCCTTTCAAGAACGCTGGTGGGCAGAGGCGAGGCCCGCAGCAAGGGGCGATGGGAGGAAACCGAGTGGGGGAAGGACGGAGCCGTGATGCAGGCGTGCTAAAAATAGCACCACCTCCGTACCCCTTCTGCCTCCACAATCCCTGCATTCTTTCCAGCAAGCTCTTCATCCTCTCCGTCCCTGATGAAAAAGACATTATGGAGATGTGGGGGGAGTCAGGTGTCAGTTTCATCCTCCGAACAGCGATGGAGACGCGGAGGGAAACGTCCTCACTGACTAACTCTTCCAGTCCCCAATGTCCAATTGCACTGAAATTATTGGAAATATATTCCGTCTTTCTTCAGTGAAACTGGAGCACATGTGATTGTGAACTGTTTGGTGATTAATTCATCGGTTGCTGATAGATTTCAGTCAGAAATCTCTCTGTGTTATGAAGCATATAGTCAATTGAGTTACACGCCAAGCATTCCTAGAAGTGACATTTTTAAGGCAAATGGTCAGAAGTATTGTCACGTAACGTTTAGGAATGAAAACAGCCATGTTGTTTATGACCAAAAAATAACGAGCCGTTTCTAGTGCCTACAGTTGAAACCAGATATTTATGTACACGGAATAAAAAAAAGACATACACATCTTTTCCTTTCACTCTGATGTTAAATCAGGCCAAACTTCTCCTGTTTTTGGCCAATTAGAATGACCAAAATTATTTATATTTGGCAATTATTTATATTAAATGCCATGAAATATTGCAAGAACATTTTTAGAGATTTTCGTCTCCTTATTAATTGTATGTAAACTTCTGGTTTCAACTGCATTGTGCGCCTTGACTCAGCTCAACACTATACTCTAATTAACGTTTTTGTGTTTTTTGTTTTACTGCTTAGTTAATTAGTATTGTTACCTGCTTTATTATCAGCATCAATCCTGAAAGAAATCCTTCACTCAGTTATCATTTATCATGTTAAATTCAGAGCACACAGTGTCAGCTCGAGTTATTCATGTGAACATAGTGCAGCTTTATGTCATTTTTACCTTTATTCAGAATCTTCTTTCTAAATGACTCCTTTAAACGATTAAAAGTCACTACTATGTTCAGATTTTCTTTGCAGGGTAACTTACAGTTAGGGCCAGAAATATTTGGACAGTAACACAATATTTGTGAGTTGGGCTCTGCATGCCACCGCATTGGATTTGAAATGAAACCTCTACAACAGAATTCAAGTGCAGATTGTAACGTTTAATTTAAAGGGTTGAACAAAAATATGTGATAGAAAATGTAGGAATTGTACACATTTGTTTACAAACACTCCACATTTTAGGAGCTCAAAAGTAATTGGACATATAAACATAACCCAAACAAAAAAGTTTTTTCTCAATATTTTGTTGCGAATCCTTTGGAGGCAATCACTGCCTTAAGTCTGGAACCCATGGACATCACCAAACGCTGGGTTTCCTCCTTCTTAATGCTTTGCCAGGCCTTTACAGCCGCAGCCTTCAGGTCTTGCTTGTTACTGGGTCTTTCCGTCTGAAGTCTGGATTTGAGCAAGTGAAATGCATGCTCAATTGGGTTAAGATCTGGTGATTGACTTGGCCATTGCAGAATATTCCCTTTTGCTCTCATGAACTCCTGGGTAGCTTTGGCTGTATGCTTGGGGTCATTATCCATCTGTACTGTGAAGCGCCGTCCGATCAACTTTGCAGCATTTGGCTGAATCTGGGCTGACAGTATATCCCGGTACACTTCAGAATTCAGCCGGCTACTCTTGTCTGCTGTTATGTCATCAATAAACACAAGTGACCCAGTGCCATTGAAAGCCATGCATGCCCATGCCATCACGTTGCCTCCACCATGTTTTACAGAGGATGTGGTGTGCCTTGGATCATGTTCCGTTCCCTTTCTACTCCAAACTTTTTTCTTCACATCATTCTGGTACAGATTGATATTTGTCTCATCTATCCATAGAATACTTTTCCAGAACTGGGCTGGCTTCTTGAGGTGTTTTTGGGCAAATTTAACTCTGGCCTGTCTATTTTTGGAATTGATGAATGGTTTGCATCTACATGTGAACCCTTTGTATTTGCTTTCATGGAGTCTTCTCTTTACTGTTGACTTAGAGACAGATACACCTACTTCTCTGAGAGTGTTCTGGACCTCAGTTGATGTTGTGAACGGGTTCTTCTTCACCAAAGAAAGTATGCGGCGATCATCCACCACTGTTGTCTTCCGTGGACGCCCAGGCCTTTTTGAGTTCCCAAGCTCACCAGTCAATTCCTTTTTCCTCAGAATGTACCCGACTGTTGATTTTGCTACTCCAAGCATGTCTGCTATCTCTCTGATGGATTTTTTCCTTTTTTTCAGCCTCAGGATGTTCTGCTTCACGTCAATTGAGAGCTCCTTTGACCGCATGTTGTCTGGTCACAGCAACAGCTTCCAAATGCAAAACCACACACCTGGAAACAACCCCAGACCTTTTAACTACTTACTTGATTACAGGTTAACGAGGGAAAGGCCTTTTGAGTTACTTGCAGCCTTTGGAGTCCATTGTCCAATTACTTTTGGTCCCTTGAAGAGGAGGCTCTGCATTACAGAGCTATGATTCCTAAACCCTTTCTCCGATTTGGATGTGGAAACTCTCATATTGCAGCTGGGAGTGTGCACTTTCAGCCCATACTATATATAAATTGTATTTCTGAACATATTTTTGTCAACAGCTAAAATAACAAAACCTGTGTCACTGTCCAAATATTTCTGGCCCTAACTGTATATTTTTGATTTATATTGCTCTGAGATGACCTGCAACTACTTCAAGAATAACACTTTACCCAAACACAACAGATGAAACAATTTTGAGAATATAGACGTACGATATTTGTAAATATCAGTTATCGGCCATGGCAGCAATATTAATATCGAATATTGTCTTAATTTTCATATTGGTGCGTCCTGAGTCATGTGACAGTGATAGTGATGAAACACAGGGTCGTTGGGGTGCAAAGTAGACAATGTGGTTGCTTTTACATGATGTGAAAATGTAGAGGAATATACACATATGATGCATACATACATATATTTTCAATAAACATTGGTTATCGGCCATAACAGCAGTATTAATATCGGATATCAACATCAGCCCAAATTTTCACGTTGGTGCATCCTTTGTGTTTCACCTTAGAAATATCGACACACTTCACGTTGCAGTTCGTCCTCAAACACTGAGTAGATGTGAAACGTCATAATGAGCCACACTGACGTCACTTTGATGCTTTTTTTCTAGAAATGAAGTGCTTTATGGAACCCGTGCGTCTCTCTCTCAGCCCAAGTCCCGTTTAATAACAGAATAAAAGCCAGTCATGCCTCAGGATGAATTAATAATGAACCGTTTGTCTGCGTACCCATTCAAACCGTATGTTCAGCTTGGAGCTTATGAGATGATGAGCTCTCGGTGTCTGTGCTGAAATGAGGGTTTTGTGTGTGTATGTTTTTTTTTATTTTTTTATATTGTTTCTCCTTTTGTTTTGCTGTCATTCTCGACTCAAACACCGACACACCAGCTGAATAAACGGAGCCACTCGCCAGCCTCGAGGTTCACTTCCGACCTTCTGCCTCTGCTTCACTCTCCCGGTCGCTTTCACGAGTCCATCGCTCATCTCAGGAAAGTCCACAGACATTCTCTTTTTCCGGACGCCTGGAGCGCCAGGGAGGTTTGCTCTGAGAATCTGACAGCTGGATGGAGTTTGTCTGATCTGCTTTTATCAACAGGAGTATGAGCCTGACTGCCAAAAATAAACAAAATAAAATAAAATGACGTAAGAAACGAAGCTGGGTTGTGTGATCCTGTTTGCATGTATGTGTGGTCTCATATTGACAAGCAACGCTGCGCAGTGGAGGTGAGCAGAGAGGGGGCTACTAGATGGTATCTTAGTAACCTGCTCTTGGTATTGACTCCATTTTGTAGCCTGTTGTATCATCTGTCCTTTTGGAAAATGGAAAACAAAAAAAGAGAGAGAGAGGCGAGAAAAAAAAGATGCAGGAGGAGTTATGGGAGAAATGTTCTCCTTTTATTAGCTTTTTAGGAGCAAAGAGGGGGGAAAAATCATCAGAAAATACATCTGTAATTGCTGTTTTGTTGTTTTTTTCTCCAATGCACTTAGCCTCAGACTACTGCCAAATTGATGGAGCAGACACAGAGAGGGATGCTCTTTATCATTGGAAATGCACTGGCAGCCTTACAGACAACGGCAGGAGTGCTTTGTTTATCCAGCTTAACGTTTTGTTACCTGCATTTAAAATGTGTATAAATCGTTGAACTTGCTGAAAATAGCAATTTTTAGCAAGTTTACTACAAAATTAATAAAAGACAAATAGTTTTAAATTATACAATCTGGATGTGTCCAAAAGGTCTGACTGCTCTCTTCATACAGTTCATCCCAAGACAATTTGATTCAAGTTTTAGTTCCAAGATGCTCCATTCAAAACAGTACCGTCATATGAAGTGGATCACAAAGTGCCACTTGTTATTTACTTATTTACTTTTCCAGCAGATAGTTTGGAACCAAATGATGAATCAGGACTAAACTAAAAAAATATATATGTAATTTTTTCCCCAAATTGTTTTATTTTGCTGCAGAAATCAAATGTAGAAATTGTGTAAAAACTGATTTTTTTTTTTAAATCTAAAACTATTTTTATGCGTAATGATTCTAAACAGTGCATAAAGTACTAGTCCTTATAATTTTAGGTCCAAGTTTTTAAGTGCTTTTAATTCTGACCTCTGGCTTCCTGCTCGTAGATCATTTTAATTCTCTCTTTTTTCTCTCTCTGCAGTCTTGGTTTTTGTCTCCATATTTCCCTGATAGCTTTTCTCGTCTCTTCCTCTTCAGCTCTTCTCCATCGTGATCTTCGGATGCATCGCCAATGAGGGCTACATCAACCGGCCCGACGAGGTGGAGGAGTTCTGCATCTTCAACCGCAACCAGAACGCCTGCAACTACGGCGTGTTCATGGGCTCCATGGCCTTCCTCTGCTGCGTCGCCTTCCTGGCTCTGGACGTCTACTTTCCTCAGATCAGCAGCGTGAAAGACCGGAAGAAGGCAGTGCTGGCTGACATCGGAATCTCAGGTGAAGCTGCACTACTTCTTCTCGTCTTCTTCCCAACATCATGTCTTTTGGTAGAGAAGTTATAGCCTCCATTTTGTCATGTTGCAGTCCCAGACCTAATGGGAACATGGATGGTGCTAAATACAGGGCAATGCTTTTCAGAAAACCCGAAACATACAGCCAGAGATTAAAGTATGCTCTTTTTTTTTTTTTTTTTAAATGGCTGACTCAAAGTCCAGACCAAAATTGAATTTAGAGTCTGTGTTAAAGCTTAAAAGATTCCTTAATAGGAACTAACCAAAGAATAACAGGTAAATATGTGAGTCTCTGGAAGTTACGTAAGTATTAATACAATACATTTTATTATTTAGTATTTTAATACAAAAATAATAAAAACAAATCTAATTTCCCTTCTGCTTCTCTGTTATGCAACACTTGCTTTTGGCCTGTTGGGAAAAAAATCAAAAAAATTTATCAGGATTTGTGACTAAATGTGAGAAAAACAGAAAATAAAAAAATGGCTAAATAACTTTTTTTTGTTTGTTTGTTTAATCGTGTTTTTTCACATATTTCATAGCTCTGTTATAGTAAGAAAAATAAAATATGTTTTACTTATAACTATCGTCATACAAACATAAGAGTAAACCAAATTTTCCTCAATCATGCATTACTTGGTATTGTTCTATTGCGACAAAAGATCAAATTTGTTAAAGTTCATTGTCGTAATGTGACAAACTGTGACAAAAAGATGAAGGCACTCTATTTACATAAGTAGACATGTACTACACCAAAACATTTTTTCAGTACTCTTTTTTACATTTTATTTACTTATTTGCTTATCCTTGAACTTCTGCAAAAAAATAAATAAAAAAAACATTCAAATTAGGCGTCTTCTTTTGATTACCTTTGTGTTTGCATTTTTATTTCGATTAAAAAAACTTGTTTCCTCTCTGCGTGTTTCTTGCTGATCAGCATAGTAACGCGTTATTTGACAGCGGCGAGCGTCTTTGGCGCAGCGTTTGTTTTTAAAGTGTGATCACAGAGGAGGGGGAAAGCGGTGGTTAAGCAGACAGCTTCTCCTCTGGTGCTAACAAGTCTCTGCGATGAGCTTCACTGTGTCAGACAGTCTGCCTCCCTGCTGCACTGCTTCTGCCCCGAACCTGACAAGATTGTCAAGCACAGACGCTTTTTAATGAGGTAGTTCCTGTCACAGACAATGCTGGCTTTTGCTTCTTTTCTTTTTTTTCCTGTGCACACACACACACACACACACACACACACACACACACACACACACACACACACACACACACACACACACACAAACACACACACACACACACACGGACTCTCTCTCTTTCTCTTTGTCACCATATATTTACATGAAAGTTGGCAAATTAGTCAAGCCAAAGAACTGCTGGAAATCTGATCAGACGTTTCTGACATGTCTGCTTTTTTATTTTTATAGAAAACACAATTTCAGATTTGTGAAATCTTCCGTTTGTTTGAGCGCACTGTGAAGCAAAACAGTCTGTTTCATAAAAAACGTCAAGTGAACATGACTTCGCAACTTGTGGTTTCACGTTCATTTCAAACAAGTAGTGTGAACTTTTCTTTCCTTTTTCTTTTTTTCTTTTTTTTTGTAAAAAAAAGCTTCATAAGTTAGTCTATTTAAGTTTAGTCCATATAAAAAAGTGAAGTATTTGAAAAGAAAGAAAGACAACCTCAAATAAACAAACAGGCACTGGTGTAGTTGTCTGTTATTATATTTTATTTTATGCAGCTTTGTATTAAAATTTTATGTCATCTTATTTTTAGATGATTGTAGATGTGAGTATCTGTTTGGTTGTTTCATATTTTGGTATTTTTTGTTTGTAGGTTCATCAAAGTCATACAGACAGAATGAAACAAAACAATACAAAAATGACTTGTCAATTTCATTTAATCACTTAATTTGATCTTATGTAACTACTGAACAGAATCTAATATCTTCATGATATTAAAAGTTATGAACAGAATCTAATATCTTCATGATGTGGCATTTGTCTTTTTATTTATCATACTTCTTGCTTTTATTTTATCTAAGTGAAGTTTTCTACCAGCATTTTGTAGAAAGGGTGACTTACTGTATGTTTTGTTGTTGTTTTCTGGACGGTTGTTTACAAAACAAAAACAAAGAAGCACCACATGAATGAAATTATTGGTCAACCCTTGATTAAATATTTTGTTCGACAGATTGATTTCCAGGGTGTCCACACGTTCTTAAAAACGTCTTCAACAGACTTAAATCTGTGTATCCAAAATTAAGACCTTAAAATGATTTAAATTCATAAGAAGAAAATGCAGGTGGTCTTAATCACTGGTCTTATGTTTTGTCTTGTTTATTTTGTGTAGTTTTATTTATTTTTCTTGCACAATGATGCACAGACAACCTCATTACGTTCTGTGACTTGAGGAGGTTGAGGCTACCGCTAACTAGCTTCTAACTAGCTAAGCAGGTAGCTTTTTTGGCCTCTATCATGGGTAAGTGTAAATTTATCGCCAGTTTGTAGGACTGCCAAAAAGCTTCCTGTTACTACTACATAAAATATGACATTTTCTTTCATATATTTCTGTTTTGATATTTAAATTTCACTCATAATGGCCTTGAAAAAGCTTAAATATGAATTGGTGAGACCAGCGGAAACCCCTGGATTCAGTCTCAGAGATTTGTGGCATTTGGTGCATGAACCAAACAAGTTAATGATGATGGGAAAGATCCAGTCAACACTTCGGGTCAGGGTTTGAACTCTACTCTGTTTGTCTCTGTTTTCTCGTCCTTACAGCGTTTTGGTCTTTCATGTGGTTTGTGGGTTTTTGCTTCTTGGCCAATCAGTGGCAGGTGACCAAGCAAGAGGACAACCCCTTGAGAGAGGGAGGCGACGCTGCTCGGGCGGCCATCACCTTCTCCTTTTTCTCAATCTTCACCTGGGTAAGAGCTTCGTTTTGCTCCTGTCGGTCCACAGATTGTAGGACATGGAGGCATGTGCAGCCACAGAGCACCTGAACACCAAACACATTGGTGAAAGCATGATATTACACGGGGAAGCTTAGAAAAATCCAGCGCTTAATATGAGAGTATTTCTCACATTTACTTGAATCGACTTGACGATGTTTTTACACCTGGCGGTCAGCTGGACTCAGTTTGATTGCAACATTTGAAAAACCTGTTCTCTCCCTCCGCCTGTGGTGGCGCTGTGCCAGAAAGAAACAACACAAAAACCCCTGAAGAAGACATGAGGGCAGAGGCCTTCTTCAACAGGCCTGTGAATTCTGACACCCTGCGAAAGCCTGCTTGTTTTTCCAATAGGAAAATATAAAAATTATTTTCTGAGTGAGAGATTTAATTCATGTAACTAAATCTTAAAAGAAAGCAGAAAAAAACTTTACATTTGTTACATTTGTTTCATGGTGACTGTGAAAGTTACCAATACGTTTGAAACTGGCGGCTGTGTCGAAAACAATTATTTCCTAACACATTTAGTTGAAAATAATCTCAAATTAAAAGTTGTTGTTTTTTTCCAGTTTGAAATTAAGATGCTGCAACAGAACAAGAGTTTATTTGAAAACATTTCACCCATCCTTGCCACGTCGTGGTTAGCCATTGGCCTCCGCTCGTTTTGATTCGTGTCACCCAGACGTCCGTCATAAATGTGAACATGAATGACCTCACCAGAGTGCGGCTGTCTCTCCAACAGGGTGCTCAGACTCTCTTCTCCATGGAGAAATTAAAGAACGTGTCGTTTGAAGAGGAGTACACCAAGCTGTTCCCCCCTGAGCCACATCAACCTTTTGTCTGACTCTGTTCTGCCTCCTATGCCTCTGCAGCTGCTCACACACACACCCCTGTTATGCTGTAGTGGCCGAACGTCTTTAGAGGAAGTGAATGTGTGGGAATCGTGAATCCTGACTTGGCCACGTTTTAATAACAATTCTAGCAACTGACGCGACAAACCTGCATGTGTGACTGTTGAGCTCGTGGTTCAAAATGATGAAGATTGTTAGTTTCTTGACGCTATTAATACACAGTAACATCTTGTCTTTTAATCAAAGACAAAATAAAAGATATCCGGCTCCGTCTCTCCGGTTTTCGACAGAGGCGTTAAGCGGTTTAGGAAGTCGGTGGATTACCTTAAGCTTTCATTTGCGGTACTTCAGGGTTGAATAAGCAACAGGATATGATTTATTGATCAAGGAGGCTTTGGTGTGTTTAGCTCCCCTCAGGCAAAGCTATAGATCTCTATTTTTAAGCTCCTATTTTTTTTTTTCTTAGCTTTGAGGCTTTATTTTCATTGTGAAATCTCAAAATTATGTATGAAAGACATCTAAGTATGTCCACTGAAAAAAGAGAAGGAAATTCTGTGCTGAATTAAGTTGGCCAAACCTATCTTATTTACATTTGTTTAACATGATGACTGTATAAACACAATATTCAGTTGGATGAACTTTGAGGACTTGCAACAAATTAATTGAGTTTATTTAAGTTGGGTCACCTGTTTTGCAGTTTTCGTGTGAAAATTTTAAACATTATGAATACTAGCAACTTAGGAAGTCTTTAGGCAGTTTGCATGTCCAGTATTTGTTTTGCTATTTCATGGAGGTTCATGGATGCGATGTTACCAGCAGTTTTGAGAGAAAAATCTAAAACAGGCAACAAGACTTTCACTGGATATTTATTAGATGTATATGGATTGTTTTGCGTTAGCAACACACAGACCCACTTCTTGTTTCCATGAAGAACGTAGACCGAAGTAGAGTTGAGGTTTTGTGTCTCCCTAGCTGTGTTTACATTGCCCGTATGATTGTGCGAATCGGAATTATGAAGATAAATGAATAAATTCACTCACAATTTTGAGAAAAACTTGAGTTTTTTGGTTGTAACTATAGGCGGAAAATATGAAGAAGACGACAGGAAGTGGTAGCAGGATGATGGCGCGGCATGTTTTTCAACAGCTTCACGCTTAAACCCATGTGATTTTAATTATGTTAATTAAAAAAACACAATGCAATATTGTCTCTTTTTTTAACATTAGCTGGATTTTGACAAACTTTTACGTACTTCCGCAAAGGAAACGCAACTAACGACGAGCTCAACTAGATGTCACCTGCTTTGACTGACTAAATGGCTTCCCAAGGTTTCCGGCAAACTAATCGATGTTTCCCCCCCCCGCTCTTTTTCTCTTCTCTTCCAAATGCTTCACTGTAACACCACTGCTTCGATCTCTTGTTTCCTCGCCGTTCGATCGCGCTCCTTGCTACCCTTGCTTGCTCTTCCATCTTCCATCTATCTCCATCGTCCGTTTTCCCCAAAGGCGGGCCAGTCGTTCCTCGCCTTCCAGAGATACAAGCTGGGGGCCGACTCCGCCCTCTTCTCCCACGAATACACCGACCCCAGCCAGGATGCAGCCGGAGCGCCCTACACGTCCTTCGGAGGGGACGACTTGGAGAGCCCAGGCGGCGGAGGCGGCCAGGCCAACAGCGACGGGGCCTTCGACGGCTCCGGGGGCTACCAGCGCCAAGACTACTGAGACGTCGAGGTTCGGATGCGCTTTGGGATTGAGATGTTGTTGCCCAAACAAACAAAGCAAACAAAAAAAAATCTAATTTGAATGAATATTTTTTTTGTTTTCTGTCACTGAAAACCACTGCCTCATCCCAACCCTAGTTACGGGTCTCTAATAATTGGAGTTCATGCAGTTCTGATGGGCTGTTTTAAACCGCCGTTTGACACGACGGCTGAAAGTTGACATGGTAACTCAGACTTGCGGGTTATGATCTGTAACAAACTGTCTCACACAATTAATAGTGTGAGAGGATCATATTCTCTACGTTGGTAGAAAATTTGTGGAGATTTATAGAAAATTTCTACCAATGGCAGAAAGTATGACACACCAATCAGAGGAACAGTTTGTACCAATTATTACTTTTTCTGACTTTCTTGTGTTGCTTGAAGCTCTCTCCGTGTTTGGATTTATCTCTTGAATATGTTAACAGGTATTAGCGCCCCTGATCAAGATGCTTTAAAAAGCCTTAAAATAAATGATCATTAACTCCAACATGCAATTGTTTTTGTTGCATTCCTCTATTGGCAACCCTAGAGGACTGTTTCTTACCTAATTAACAGGGTTCACAACCCTGTTAATTACTTGTTTGCAAATAGTGGCGAGGTAATGAAAGTGAGAGAAAAGAGAAGCAGAAATTATTAGACTAACTCCTCAGCATTGATGTGTGACCGTGAAACTATGAAAAATTTACATTTCTTCAGCTTCACCGCAGTATACTTTACATTTAAAGGTCTTAGCTTTTTTGCTTATATTATTATGACTGATACGATTATTTAGAACTAGTATTTTAGAAGCAACAGTGTCATTTTACAATTTTTTCTCAGCTCTTTAATGAATTAAACTACAGACAACAACAAAAAACAAATTGTGAAAAACAAACTGAGAATTGGAGTGGCTCTTGGGGGACCCCTGCTGGCTGGAGACCCTAAGCAACAATGCCACTTCCTGAAACAGGAAGTAGTGTATTCCTAACTTAAAGTTCCCTTGGGTGTTATCACCAACTGAAGAAATTAAGTATAACATGACCAAAGGAAAGGGTTGGGTCCAAATAAGGGTGGTCCTGGTAATTTTGTACATATATAAAAAGAATTGAAGGAATTAAAATTTTTCCTCTAAATAGCTATACCCATAAAAAGCAACCTCCCTTCCTTCCCTCCCCCTTCATTTTGTACTTTAAAAAAATATGTATTTATTTCAGGGCTTTTTAACATTTTTTACCAGGGGTTCCCATGGATGAGACGGTCCTGCGGTCGTGGTTTACACTTTGAACAGGCATGGGAAAATTTTTCGAAATACAAGAGCTAATTGGATAAAAATGGTTTGGAAATGGAGGGAACTATAAGGAGATTGTGTGGTCATGGGGAAATCATCACCTTTTGGCGAAATCAATACTTCTGATCACATTGTTTTCCTCTCGGTCAGCTCAGTAACACAAATCAGTCATCTATGAAAACTCCCACATCCAGAGCGGGTAATAAGTTAAGAGTGGATTGATTTTTAATGAGATACACGGTTTAACACAGGATAAAGCATATCTGGTATCTCATAACAGTGTATTTATGTGTGTGTATGCGTGTGTATTGCAATGTTTTGTTTCCTTGATACTTGTATGTGAGACAGATTTTTTTTTCTGTTTTTTTTTTTTTTTTTTTTTTTTAATTGTTGCCTCAGTGCTGACTGCCAAGCAAAATGCAACCATCATAGGCGACACACGTGTACGCCAGACGTCCCAATCACACACTTTTCTCTCCTGACCTTTTTCCACCAAAGTTCATCTCGTCAAGTTTTCTGCGGCTTTGGTCTCAGAGGGCACAAAAACGGGAGAACGAAAACCGAGCTTTAGTTGAAACAATGCTGCGTCATCCGTGCCGCGGGTGTCGACGCTATCAAAAGAACTCTTCGTCTCGACTTTATTTCGACAACAGGATTCAGCCGTGAGCCTCCTGAGTGTTTATGAACACACATTTCTCTGTTCTCTTCTACAGTAATGTACACCTATCTCTCTCTATAAATATATACATATGTGTAAAGAGATAATTCAGTGGTCGACAGAGAGATTCTGCTTTATTTTAGGGCATTACGCTAGTTATTTATAATAAAAAAATAAATAAATAAATATATATATATATATATATATATATATATATATATATATAATATATATATATATATATATATATATATATATATTATATATATATAGCGAAAAGACAAGATAAAGAACTTCTATCGTCTGTTGAGTGTTATTGTGGTAAGATGTATATGACGAGGCTGTCTACACCTCTTCTTTTACGTTGCTTTTGAGATAGGGAGATGTTTTTATTTTTGGGATAACAATACAATAACTACTAAAATCAACAAAAAGAGAGAAAAGTTCTAAAGTATATTGACCCTTACTGTATGTACTTTATACCTCTGTGTAGTCGTAGAAATGTGTGACGTTTTCTCTGTGGGATTTGTTAAACAAAGCAAGGTTCGGCCTAAGAACAACAGTGTGTGTTTTTGATGTATCTGGTTTCAGTCATGAAAATAAAGAAAACACTGATAACTACGTCGGGCTTCTGGTGCGGTTTTTCATCTCGCTGACACAGGAGAGCGGAAATGTGGAGTGGAAGGAGTGACCCGAGGTTTGCGGCGTTTTATTACGCATGCATTTCTGAAAAGCGTGGCATTCATTTTGTTCATAGCCCATCTGAGTAAAAATTCTTCTCTTTTTTTTTTTTGAAGGAAAGGCTTTCTTATTCCCACTAAAACCACAGATATCTTATTCCCACTCAAACCACAGACAGAAATCATTTGCAGTTGGCACAGAGACCATTCTAATGGTTCCATCCAACCAGATGGCTGGTTGGATGGAAAACCTTCTGTTTGCACCTACTACTGCACAGGATTTGCTCTTGTAAATTTCACAATTTTAGTTAACTTAGTTAAGTTCTCCAGAGTCCTGCTGTTGACCTGATTATCTGACTCAGACGTACTGAAGCAGAGACAGTCGAAATGTTAGGGGACTCTTAGACCCTGAAAGTCCCTCTGACTTCTTCTCAGTTGGTTGTAATTCATTACAATCCCGCACGGTGGCAGTATTGTTAAAGAAACCACTGACGAGGAAACCATTCTATACGGTTGAAGATTTGTCCTCTCTATATTTCATTTGCAATTGCTACGCATACTTAATTTTAAAAGTAGGAAAGCGATGGTAATTGTTAGCATAATAAAAATGTTATTTTATTATAATAAACTGAAGCTAAAACCTTAAATATGCTGCCTTCATAGGCAGCGGTATTGTGTCTCCTGACTAGAATCCAGAATATACTCCAAGGATGCTTCCGACAGAGTCACATCAGGAAGCAAAACTAATAGAAATATAGTTAAACTATTAAAAGCCTTAGTTTTTAATTTCCTAACATCAATAAATGTGTTTTTGTGTCATCGAAGTTAACATATCGGACACTGCGGCGTGATCCTGAACGCAGCAAATAGCATCCAACATGGCGGCAGAGCCGAAGACTTTGATGCAAAGCGTAAGTGAAAAGTGTTGTTTATACCTGACACTGGCAGCTAATATTCCCCAGTTACATTACTTTAACCCCGTCTGTGTCTCACGGGGGTCTTTGTTGCTTACTTTGACCCTTTCATTGGCAATTGCTCTCTTTTAATAAAGCCAGTTGTAGCTATTTTTAGTAGAGCTCATTAGGTGCCTTGCTAACCGTAAGCTAACCTACAACACTTTAAAACGACTGAAAAATAAATATACTCGAGTTAACAAGAAGCAGGAGGAGTGATTATCAGTCAAAAGGCGCAGTGAACAGTGTTTTTCCTGGTCTTATTTAATTCTTTACATCGAACTGGCTAAATAGACTTGTACTATTTTATGACTTAATCATAACACCTGGGGGAGTTTCGGTTTAGCATTGAACTCTGTTTTCCTGCTTTTTCAGTAGCTCCAGTTCAACATATCACACGAGCACACATGTCATTTAGAAATGAAAAGTTAAAATGAACAGCATTTTCCACACCTTTTCTGATGCCGTGGCATTGTTTATTCATGTATTTGTTTGTTTATTTTGTGTTTGCAGCAGCAGCAGAGCTGGACAGATGACCTGCCCCTGTGTGAGATGTGTGGCGTCGGGGTGGCGCCCAGCTGTGTGTACAGCCCGGATGGTAAAGGAACCCAGAACCACCCCATGGAGGACAGGCATCTCAGGCTGAGGTGTGCAACACACAGCAGCTTCACTCAGCTGTCTGTTAGCATTGAGATAATGGAACTTTTTCTTTTCAGAACTTTCTTCCTAGTTGGAAATATTCACAGTGTTCAGTATGAATTGGTTTTAACCTTGCTTCTCTAATTCACAGATCCGTGTTTATTTTTTTGTGCATTTTTGTTAGATGTCAGATGGTAAATATTGATAAAGACTTTATAAAGGACAGTTGCCCAGGCCAGGGCGGCAATTTTTCTGGGGGCCTCAAAGGCTTTTTCAATTTATTTTTATTTTGTTACATGTTTTGCAAACATTGCACCTTATATAAAACTCAGAGACCCAAATCAAGTTGAGTTGTATGTATATTTGGAGATTTTTATGAATATAATATAATAATATAATATATCGTTTAAGTTGTTAAGAAAGTTAAGTGTTATTTCTCAAGCTGTTAACAAGATTTTTTTTGTAATTCCTATTGGACTTAAATTTGAATATGTCATTGATGCTCTCAAAACGATACATTTTTGCTCATGTTTCTTGCGCTTTGTCGTCCAATCAGAGGCGAGAACTGTTTCCTCTACGCCGTTTTTAACGGCTATGACGGCAGCAGGGTGGCGGACTTTGCAGCCCAGTGTCTGACCGCTGAACTCCTTCTCGGGGAGCTCAATTCAAGTCACACAGACGGTGACGTCCGCCGGATCCTCATTCAGGTGTCTGACTGTTTACTGGTCTGTCTGTGGAGTCACATCTCTTCTGTGAAACCTTTCATCCTTTGAGTTTTTTCACTTCTGTTTTAGCAATTTTATCATTTTTTTGTAGCTCCTCTGATGTGCTTCAGAGCCGCTGAACGAATTATAATGCGTGTTTTCTTTGTTGCAGGCCTTTGAGGCAGTAGAGGACAGTTACTTTAATACAATAGGCGATGCTTTGGCAAAAAAGGCTCACCTGTCCAACTACCTCCTGCCACACAATGAGGTATGCACACATGGAGAGGTGATTTTATGACACAAAAAAGCAGTGATGTACATAAAAACATCAGGTTAAGGCCTCATCAGTCTGACTCGGCTCTCCTTCACTCGTTGTAGTTTTTTTCTGTTGCCTGTTTCAATCGACTTTTTTTTTGTTTGTTTTTTTTGCATTGGCTTTCAGTTAGATAGATGCACCAATCCACTTTTTTTCCACTTCTGATACAGACATCTGAGGTTTGGTATTGGCTGAAATCAATCCGATGCAGAAAATCTGCTGAATTGACTCAAAACATTTTTTCTAAACACAATGTATTGAATTCCAAAGTTCTTAAATATACCAATAGCTTCACAAGCTTGGTCAAACATGTAAAACCAACACAACTCTAATCTGTTCAGTCTGTGTAATTAGTAATAGAATAGAGGAACTGAAACTGACAAAAATAAACTTCAACAAACGGTTCAGAAAGTTCAATTAGGATTTCTAAATGTAATGGAAAATAAAGAATAAAACATGACGTGGCTCAGAGCATAGAATTAGACTGAATAGATCTGTCCTTATGGATTGGGCACATTGTCACCGAAACCCAGTCTAGAATCTTTTTCAATATTGCGACCGATCGGTGCATCTCCAGTTATCCTGTCTTTTTCCTGATTGATTTTCTCAGTTTCTTTCACCTCCATTTTGCCGCCTTCCTACCATTATCATCTGTTATTTTTATTTCTCTGAATGCTTCCCGGCTGGCCAGGATGTGCCGTCCCACGGTCTCTCTTTGTCTGTCTCTCCTCAGAGTCAGAAGGTCCAGGAGCGCCTGAAGGAGCTGGAGCAGGAGGTGTCAGGAGGTGCTACGGCTGTGGTGGCTCTGATTCTCAACAATAAGCTCTACATCGCCAATGTTGGTATGCACACGTTTTATTTATTTAAAATTTTATGCTTTCTGAGCAGTATGTTTGATTTGCAGCTCTAAAGAGGCTTTATCTGCTTGCAAAGAATTATTTAAAAAGATTCTGCTTTCCACCAGCAGATGTCAGACTTGATGCAGATTCGAGTCGTTTGATATACAGAAAATCTGATACAAATGTTACAGTGAAACTTTCATTGATTTCTCCACTAGAATTGAATGTTTAGAGTTTCAATCCAAACTGTGTTTTCAGTTTCAGTTGAGTCAAAGTTTGCTTGAAGCTGGAGAACTTTGTTTGCTTGATTGCACAAGTGTTTGAGCAAAAACCAACCCACAGCCTGGAGATGCAGAACAGAAATTTGAGCTATTAATAATGACGAGCAGTATAACACAGAGCATGATAGGGAAGTTACTGTAAAAATCAAGATTGTTGAGGGACACAGGTTTGTATAACGCCCCAGTCGGTTTGTCTTTAAAATGTCATTAGTATGCATGCAAAAGACGAGATTATTCCTTAGTTTGGATCGAATTTTGAAGGAAGTCAGAGTTCGATCCAATTCTGACTATGTATTTGATAATGGATAAAGTTACATAAAAATCTTGTCTACTTAGTCACTAATGCAGTATTTAGCAAAAAAGAAAGAAAACGTGCCAGCTTATATTTAGAACTGATTTATTACACATAGGAATGGCCGCTGGGAGGATCAGGAGTTCAAAGTTTAGCAGGAAGGTTTGAACCGAGACATAAGTGTGCTTTTGTAAATGACTGCCAGCTGTTTGTCTGCGTTGAACATATCAGAGCCGGGTACGTGTGGAGCGAAAAGCTGCGCTACATTAACTTTCAGCATTTTGCCCACAAGAACATAAAACCTTGCTTAACAAACGGGCGGATATTTTCTCCTTTTTTTTCTAGTTGAGGATAGAGAAGCCTGATCATGATTGACATAAAGCAAATTGGCTGCATTGACTGGCCTTGTTCGGCTGATTAGAACATTACAACACACAGCTTGAGGCAGTTTAGGGATATGAAATCTGTTGGTTGCTCTGGAACTGCATGTAGCATCTGCTTACTGACCCAGAAATGTAATTTTAAAAGTTAATTAATCATTGATCTGTCTTTTGCTTCCCCAGTTAGAAAACCGATTAAAAAAACAAACATTTTTGTGCCTTTTTAAAGTAACTTTAGATGAAGTTTCTCAGTAAAATTTAATGATACTGCAGAAGTGTCTGTTCTTTGCATGATGGGGCATGTTGACCCTGTAATAATTTTTTGCAGTATTGATAGCAGAGCTACTTTAATGTTTTGGACATCAGTCAGTTCTCAGCAAAGTCCTGCTCAACATACAAACATTTCCACTCAAAGCGTTGTGAACTTCATCCAGTCATTTTCAATTGTTAGATTCAGTATGTCTAACACAAAATGCTGGTTTCAATTCTGCTTGTTTGTGTCATTTTTTAGATAATCAAAAAAGGTATATATTAGATAGATGAGAAAGAAAGTCACTGATCCACTTTGTTCACTTCTGGTATCACTACAGATATCTGAGGTTTAGTGTTGGCTAATAACGATCCGATAAGTCATTTATAAATGGAAAATACACAAAGCAGTAATGAAATTTCCCCACAGTGGTTGGTCTACCAAGATCTTTGAACTTTGAAGCTAAACTGCTGTTCTTTCTAAAGATCTTTTGTTTTTTATGACTCAGCAATAAGGAGGGCTGGAAAAAACAGGAGGTTTCCAAGACAAAAATAAGTGCTGCTGACCAAAAAGAAAACACATTTTCTTTTCTTATTTTCCAAAAAACATTTTGATAGTCTCTGTGACATTTAAAAAATTGCTTTGTGTTATGACATCGTTTGACATTTTTAGTATGGATTGCAGACTGGTATGTTTTTAAAGATGGATTGTTAGATATTTTGCAGCAGTTTGACCGTCATTCGTCTAAATTAAGTTGTATTAAATTAGACTTAAAAACAAATTTTTTGTGTTTTTGTCTTTCCTAGGATCACCCTAGAATTTTCTCTTTCTCAAATTTAAATCCCCAAATGGTAAAAGGGGAAAACCAATGATCGCTATGTTTAAGCTTGTGAATGTATGGATGGATTCAACATTCTCAGCCATGCACACACAAAGGGATGAGAATGTTGAATTCAGATGTGTAAAAACACGTAAAACATACATCACTCTAAAAGAAAAAGAGATTTGAAAAAAGAAACAAAAGTTGATTGTTTTGTGAAGAGTGCTTCCTGTTAAATCTAGTGTAAAAATAACTGCATACATATTTTATTTTAACACTTAAAAAAAACTAACAAAGGTTTAGATAGTGTTAAAAACATGCAGCTGTTTTTTCCCCCTTTTTTCCATACAACTACTTTGGTTTAGTTTGCTTTTCTTCTTAGTAGAATAAATCCGGATTTTGTGTAATAACGTTACTTCTTTGTCTAGTGCTAAAATGGTCTGAAACATTTCATGATGACAAAAATAAGCAGAAGGGAGGAACTACTTTTTCACACCACGGGACACGATGTCTCCAATAGAAACAGTATTTTTTTATTGTTTTTATGTCAGATTCATAAATATCAGATTGTGGTGACCCGATCAACACTTATTTAACGCATCGTTAAAATTCTTTGTTTGTGGTTTCAGGTACAAACCGGGTTCTGCTGTGTAAGTCCAGCAGCGACGGTCAGAACCAGGTTCTCCAGATCGGGCGGCCACATAGCACCGACAACGAAGACGAGCTCCAAAGACTGGCGGCAATGGGTGAGGAGCGTTGATGTGCTCACATCTGTGATGTGATGGAAACCTGAAAATGAATTCATCAGGGTTGCTATTAAAGCAGTTATTGTTGGACGTTCCTAACAGGATAAATGTGTCATTTAGGCATCCAGAGTTTCTCAATGGAGCACAGACCATCTCATCTACATGCTAATAGCATTCTTTGCTAAAGGAACAGTTTGTTCCATACAACAGGCTGTAACAAGTCCAGCCTCAACCTGACAAATACATTTGTCATTTTTTTAACATTTGTAGCATAACAAAAGATAAGGTACGAGTAGTTTTTATTTTATTATATTTATTTATTTGTTAAATTAAATCAAATATTACAGAAATTTTGCTTTGATCTGAGACTGCAGTCAGTTTTTCATTGGGGCACAATGAGTTGTTCAAATGTTGGCACTAAGTCAACTTTAAACGTGAAAAGATTTAAATTATTTTCTTTAGTACTTGTAAAACAAATAGGTAAAATAAAATGTACAAATCACATAAACAGAATTGTAGAAAATAATAAGCAAATGCAACTTACAAAGAACTGAGATTTTCAGAAAATTTGATTCAGAAAGGCGACAATGGAAAAGATGCATTTCAATTAAAAGTGTCAGTTTATGGAAGAGTCTTAAATGGGATGAAAGGATCTTAATATATTTCTGCATTTAAAATAAATTTGAAAACCATTATGATGAAGCGATACGGCATTGAATAATGTTGAGTAGTTTTTGTGTATTTGAAAACCATCTCTAATAGTTTTTTGAGCTGAATGTCTAGTTTTCTCTTTAAGGGGCAGATATTGTCACTTCATTCTTCTTTGTGCCCCTTTTCATTAACAGTTTCTTTCACTTTTTAACATGAACTAATCGTATTTATTATTGAAGGAATGAATGAAATGAAAAGTAGTTTTCATTCAACCAAGTTTGCTTCTGATTGACAATGAGTCAAGGATCTCTCAAAAAGAGTGTCAATTTAGAAGAAAATTCAGTTTTATTTACATTTACATAAAACCTTCACGTTAAAAAAACATTTCTAACATTCTCTATGATCAATGAAAAAACTCACATCTTTACTGTTGTAACAGCCACCAAATCTTTTGAACTTTTGACCCAATTCTTGCTGGTCTTCACTTGCAATTTGCTGATTTGTTTTATGCGATTGAGTCCCACGTGTTTTACGTTGATCTCATCTTAAGCCATTCAGAATTAGAATCGTTGTGTTAATAACTTAAGACATAACTTTAAACCAGAATCTGACAAGGAAATGACTAATTATGGTTTGTTTAGGACCCATAAATATTTGTTATAAATCTTGTTTAGTTAGGCTGGTAAGTCCTTGCTCACTTTCTGAGCAAGGACCGAATATTTACATTAAATGTGATGTCTTATTTGAATAAAAAAAATGTACATTTTGAATAATAAAATGTGGAACAAGTGCTCTGAGTACTTTCCAGATACTCTGTATATACAATCGAGTGAACAGTCACATGAGTGTGTGTAATGTGTGATGTCACAGTAATGCCTTTACCTTTAGGTTGCTTCCTGAGCAGTCGTCCTCTTGTGGTTTTTAATGGAAAATGTTTAAATTTGACAGGAAATTTTAAAATATTTCTTGGTAATTATGTGTTATTGGATGGCCTTATTAATAACACCTAAACACCAATTATGAAGTCTGAAAAATAGGCAAACATAAAACATACAATTTAAATAAATATTTCTTTCTTTCCACTTTGGTTATTTCACCCTAATTAAAGTGTCCAAAGTTTTTCTTTTTTTTTTTTTTTTTTTTTTTGTCATTTTATTTGCTGAAAATACAAAAAAAGAGTCTTTTTAACCCATCTTTGCTATCACTGTTACTGGTGTTAAAAAAACAAAACAACAAATGGATAAACAAACAAACAATTCTCAGCCTGGTGGGGGGAGCAAGTCCAGCCTGGTGTCCCGCCAGACTTGTAATACACTGGGAGAAAACCCTGGTGAATGTTTGGCCGTTACACAACTTCTTTATATTTTGTCACAATGCAGCCAAAAACATAAATATATTCCATTGTTATTTAATGTGAAACACCAACACAAAGTGAAGAAGAGAGAAAATGATAAATGATTCAAAGCAAGAGAAACATCAACCTGAAAACTCGTGTTGTTTTGATTTCCCCAACCTCTGTTTACTGCTGCTTTCATTCTTCCTCTGCTCCTTACAATTCGTCTCGTGTGTGTGTGTGTGTGTGTGTGTGTTTACTGCCCGCTCCACTGTGGCCTACATCGTGTCTCCTGTGTCGTAGGTGTGGACGCGGCTCGAATACGGCAAGCGGGACAGATCGCAGGACAGAGCAGCACCAGGCGGCTGGGAGACAGCAGAGTCAAGATCAACTACTCTGAGATAGATCTGCTCAGGTCGCCATTCTGACTACGCTTACATTGGTTCACACACGTTGTGTTATCTTTGTGCTTTGTCCATTTCTGAGGAATCTCCTACATGTGTTCCTATTTACTATAACACAGCATACAACTTGATTGATTGTGAAAAGCAAGACATTTATCTTCTAATTTGAGTTTGTTGATGTTTCCAGTCCACACAGGAGCAAAATTACACCAAGAGGCTCAGATACTTCCAGATATTGACTTATGTTTTTGATATGGTGTCAGAGGAGCAACATGATTTTGTAGCTGTTGATTCTTTACCATTCTAGGAGCCTTCAGTCCAGCTAAATAACACTGTACAGCTGTAAATGTTACAATACTTTTTATTCTTTTTAAAGACAACTTAAAAGTTTTGGTAAATAATTTTTTCTGTTTTTAGATTCTAAAATAAAGAAAACACATAAATCCTTTGCAAAGAGAAGAAGATGGATACATTTCCTTTTGTAGGTTGTTGGAATTTGTAGAAAATGGGGAAAAAAGTAAATAATTTCCCACATTTGATGCAAATTTCAGTGAAGCTTGAAGCAGAGCCTTTTTTTTTTAGTGTGTGTGTTTTCTTGGCTATCACATTCTCTGTCCGTCATGAGGAAATGATCTCTCCAGGAATTTCCCTGGAGAGATCATTGCATCATGTTTTGCTGGTTGAAGAAAATTCAAAAAGGAATTCAAAGTTGCAGAGCCAATTATTTTAAGAAAATCACAGATGGCGAATGTTATGTAATCATTCCACCCTGGAAGAAAAATGCATCGTTAAACTCCATGTCTGTAAATTCCTTTTATTAAAGTTACATGAAATCAATGCTGTGACTATTAAGGCAGTATTTGAAAGTGTTTAATCTCTCATCTCTTCTTCTCCTTCCCATTGCCGTCATTATCGTACCGGAGCCAAGACTCTGTAAAAGTGCTTTATTCATAAACACACATACAAACCCCCATTTCCTCATTTCCTGTGGTTATCCAGTATCCAGACAAATCAAATCCAAATACTTTTGCATCATTCAAATTTTAACCCCCATCAGATACAGAATGGAATCTGTACTGAATTCTCTCCTCTGCTATCAAGGAGAGAGCAGAGCATCCAATGTAATTCATACAAAAAGGATCAATATAATAAACTGCTGTTTAGGTCAAGCCTCTCAAGCAAATTTTTGTTGCTGTATTGACTTTAATTGTTGGGGGTTTTTTTGCCAACCTTTCCTTTCTTGTTGTCGTCTCACGCTTTCCTGTCTCTCTCCATTAGTGCGGCCAAGGCGAAGCCCATCATCTCTGAGCCAGAGATCCATGGCAGCCACTCTTTGGACGGTGTGACAGGATTCCTGCTGCTGATGTCAGAGGGCCTAATAAACGCCCTGGAGTCCGCCCACGGCCCAGAGCAGGTCAACCAGGTTAGCAACAACGCTGTTGTTGTTTATTTTGGTTCTTTTTCGCTCTTCAAGCCTCACATGAGACGTCTTTTCACTTTGGCGTTCAAGTCTTTTTTTTCCTCTTGTCTTCTCAAATGTAGCTATTATTTTTAAAAATGATTTCCCCTCTCCGACCTAGGAAATTGTAGCCATGGTTGCGGCCGAGCTGGCCCAGCAGACCAGTTTGGAGGTGGTGGCTCAGTCCGTGGTGGAGCGGGTCAAGAGGCTTCACCACGACGTCTTCGTGTCCGGCCGTCAGAGAGCAGCCTTCTGCTCTCGGCATGAGGACATGACCCTGCTCATTCGCACAATCAATTACCCGCTGGCGGACGCCGCGCTCACGCCCACACAAGGTAGAAAGCGTTATTCTCATACGGAAAATTCCCGTTCCACTGCACCGGAGAAAATTCTGGGAAGGATAAAAACTTCTACAGTGGTTGCAAAGCTCTTTTCTTTATATCATTGGCAATTTCCCACTCACAACATTTAAATATGATGGTTAGCTTTTATATTTCGCAAACTCAGCTAACAACCTCTTGCTAAATAATATATTATGTTTGTTTTACGTGTCCTGCAGGATGTTTATGAGTTTCAGAGCAGTTTCTGTTGCTGGATCGCTCCGATTGTTACACTTGTTTTCGGTGTTTAGTTCTGGGTCTTGAGAAAATGAAATCACGACTCTTATCAGTGTTGCCAAGAATAAAAAAGGTCAAAATAACCCAAAATAACCCAAGAAGGACATTTTTGCTGAAATCGCACCTTTTTTATCACAATTTAGTTAGATGGAAATATTTTTGAGAAAATATGAAAATACACGTTCCATGTCCCTTCAACACTTTTAAACAGAGTGGAAAACAATATGAATAACCGGGATGTTTTGCCGCAGATTTTAACATCTTCACCTGCATCTCTTCAGGCGGGCGGATCTATCCAGTTTCAGTACCATACTCCAACAGCCAGAGCACCAGTAAAACCAGCGTGACCCTCTCACTGGTAATGCCGTCTCAAAGCACCCTGACCAACGGGACTAACACCGCCTCCACCCTGGAGGAAGGCACCCCCACACCGGGGTAAGCTTGGCTTTTTCCTCTCCATGCTGACTTTCTCCTTCCGCTGGTGTTGTTTTTCCTTCTTCTCCAAACGCCGCTGTTTTGTCTCAACCTTTATCTTTATTTCTTTGTTCCTACGGCTGTGGGCAAGTTTACTTAAAGCGTATTTTAAATAAGCAAAATTAGACTTCCTCATTCTTCCTTTGCTGTATTTATTTTAAGGTGCGCTTGATTTTCAGTCCCCTGCCTCCAGCCTCCACAGCTGTGTTTATTTACATTTAGACAAAGTTTTTCCTTCCTCACTCTTGTGTTGTGGGTGGATCTGGGCAGCTTATCATTTTACAGCTGGAAACGGGTATTATAATATTCAATAATACTCCTACACATAGCATATGCCAAATGCAATAGTTTTAGATGTGTTAAAAGTACTCTAATTCACTGTAGTTGACAAAAAACTTGCTGCTATTTCAGTGAAAGGAGGTTCTGCAAAATATTAATGCAGCTGAGCTGATTACAAATAGTTTTTTTAATAAATCTGCAAAAAGAAAAAAAATGCATAAAGCTGGTTTAAAAAAAACTGAATTTTGCATTGCGTTGTACAGACTAGTGCTTCTTAACGAGAGTGGCGCCGCCCCCTGCAGGGCATGTAGAGGAGGACAGAAGGCGCTAGCAGCAATATTTGTTTTTCTTTAATATGTTAATGACAAGTCTTAAATTTTGTTATGTCAGATTATGTCATTTGATATATTCCATGTAGTTTTTCAGTTTTTTTCTCATGGGACTTTTCTGTGAGACAGAAGTTTGTCTCATGCAAACAAATTGCCAGCACTTGTCCATTTGCACATGGACAAGTGCAAATTTATCACCAGCTGGGGGAGCGACGGTCGTCTTCACCATCGGCTCACTTCTGTGGCCAAACATGGCAGTCAAGCACCAGTCTGACCTATTTAAGAATTTTATTGCAACAAAGTTGTTGCAAAGGAGGGAACTACTGCTGAGAAGGACGAGAAAAAAGCCGTAGATGTAGCTATGATGAGGGAAAAAGATGAGAGATAAGAAGATTTTTAGCTATCCTCCTAAATAGTAGCATTTCTGTCATGATACAAATCTTAAACTTCATTTATAATGGTCTTAAAAAGTCTTAACTTTGTGTTGGCAAAACCTGCTGACACATTGTTACAAAAGGAGCGTTTGGGGAGCGTTTGCTCACAGTTTACACCAAAGATGCATAACAATGCCAGTTTAAACTTTGAACTACTTGTGAAAAACTGTGGAATACTCAGTTAAATTTCAGGAGATGTAATGTCAATATAGCAACTTGCATTAAAAAGAGTTTTGATGTGTGTTTGAATGCTGGACACTATAAGAGAAAGTCTGACAACTGAACATCTACTCTTGTAATTATAACCACAGCGATAACAATTTGCTCACAATGTAGTTAATGGCATTTGTGACAGTCTGCGTGTTGATATGCTAACTCCATTCTAAGTTAGCTTGCAGATTAACAGCAGTTTCTCTAGACACTGTTCTAGAGAACCTGCATATAATTTAGCTCTGACTGAGATCCATTTCCCTGATAGGTAAAATATGACAGCTGAGCTCCACTTTCATAATCACTCATTTTCCCTGTCTGCTGTTGTTGCTTTGGGATTAAACTGGAACTATGACTCCTGGCTGTTCCGCTTCAAGGAACCACAGCACAGGCTGAGTCACTACATAAACAACAAGCTCATGCAAAACTGAGATTATTCTGGTCACCTTCTACTTCAAGTGAGGCGTTTGAGTCATCAAAACTCAACACTAACTTTGATTGAAAAAAAAAAAAAGCACTTGGGAGAATATTTAAAACTTGCCTCTTTCAATTTCAGCTTCTGATGCAGTGCAAAACACGCTTGGGTTAGTCACAAGATCAGGATATGAGATGTGAAGTAGTAAATTAGTTTTTAGTTTTCTTCATTTTAGATCATTTGAAAATAGAATTTATCTGCAGCTGTAATAATTAGAGGTGCGAGTTATCGACTGAGGTAATCTATAATTAATTAATCATTCTGCTGACTAATGAGTAATTGATAATTGGCCATCTTATTAAAGACCTGGTTTTTCTCTTGTAACAACAGAAACAACCGGCTTTCCACAGGATAAAGGAGATAATTTTTCATGTGGTGAAATAAAAAAAACAAGTATTTAAAGATTATTTTGTGTCAGTTGTATTAAATACTGTGTCTCGTGTTATTTAGCTCAGATGTATTTATGAAGCAAATCAGGAACCAGTTAGGTTGCTGACCAGCAAAATAAGACATGAAAATAATGAAACGTGAAACACTCAACCTTCCTTGAACAGAAAGATAGACACACGTACCACCATTAAAGAGCGTGTTGAGTGTTTAAATTTCAAAACAGAACCGCATAAAGTTCACTGTCCAACCCTCGCGAGGCTCTGTTGGGACCGTTTCTTTGTCCGTTCTTCTGTCACCGCCATCTTGAGTCCTGTATCAAGTGGCTCCACTTAGCGTAAAGATGACCAGAGGCGCCCTCTGCTGGATGGCGTCTAAAAGGAGATCTAAGCTAATCGATTGGAAATAATTTGAAATTAGAAATTGGTGAACAATTAGGATCTGATTCAGTGTTTGCGTCCCTATTAATTATACATGTTTTACTTGCTGAAATAAGTGTTTGCCAGCCTCTTAACTGTACAGTCTCTTGTACACCTGACTGTAGCTAATGATAAGTTGAATATGGCTGCTGTCTGTGCAAAACGTCTTTATTTAGCCCCTCTGAGGGATAACTAACTTGGTACTCCTTCATTGTGAGTTTCAGTCTCTCTCTCTATCTTTCTCTTTTCGGGCGTTTGACTCACATCTCTGTTTGTCTTTTTTTTTAACTGGCCCTGGCTTGTCGTTCTCCGTCCTGCGTCCTACTCTTCGTCTTTCCCTGTCGTTTTTCCACTACTCTGTTAGCATGCTGAACCTGACCGCGAGCCAAGCCTCTGTTGACATCCTGCAGCCTATAATTGAACTCCCCCTTTCGCAACCTCCTCTCTCCCCTCTCGCGCTCTCTACCTCCGACTCCTCTCTCTCCACCACTCCCCGGCGCCCCCTCCCTCTCTCCACCTCTTTGTTTTGTCTCTCCACTCGTGACATTGACCTCTTTCCCCCGTTCTCCACGTCTATCCCAACCCTCATACCTGCTGTCTCCTCTTCCTCCTCCACTGTTCCCCACCACCCAACTTTCTCTTCCTTCCCGCCCTCCTCCTCCTTCTCCTCTTCTCATCCCAGCAGCCAGAGCCCTACAGCCACCCTGCAGTCCACCAACACCCAAACACAGAGCTCCAGCTCCAGCTCGGGGGATGGAAGCCTGTTTCGTCAGAGAGGGAGCCAAGCAGCGCAGCCTGACGAGACGGGCAGGGTGCCGCCCTACGTGGACTTTACTCAGTTCTACCGACTTTGGGGAGGGGACAACAGCGACACCCAAAGCACACAGGGAGGCCTTGGACCCCAGTAAGGAGGAAAGTCTGAAGGAGGGGCACGAACTACAAGGAGAAACTTTGTTTTTGTTTTGTTTTTTATCAAACTTGTGGATTTATGAACAATATGTACTGTAAAAGAGACTTTGTGAGCATGAGTTGGAAGGGACCGGGGCTTTCTATTATTTCTGCAATGAAAACTGTGAGGAAGTGGCTTCACACCACACTCCAATTAATGTTTGCTTCTCTTCAAAACATAAACAGTCACAGCAATCCAGATTGGTGAAGTACCTGTTGAAGGCAACTCCAGTTGCTGGACAAGGATGTTTTATTCAAAGCCTTAAACTGTAACGAATGAATGAAAGTGTTTGAAAGTACATTTTTTTATTTGCTGTCCAAATATATATATATATATATATATTCTATCTCCAGATAATTTAAGGACCTGTCTGTGATTTCTATTTTCTATGCACATTTTCCTCATCATTATATTCCATTTATTTTGATTCGTAGTGGGACTAGACACATTTTTAATTGAGTTAATCCAAAACCATATGTCGACAAAAACAAGCATTTTCAATTCAAAACCCTCTTTGCTGCCAAATTATTAAATACGCTTGAATAGTGTCGCTATTGTCACCAACTCATTTTAACGCAACTTGAACACAACTGTAGACTTCTCCAGCGTCCCGTCAGATTATTTTTTTTGAAGCAAAAATGTGTTTTTTTTGAGCCAAGATAAGCAGTTTTGATGTCCACTGCCTATGTTGTGCGTCACATTTGCAGGCATCCCGGAAACACGCGAATACAAAGGTTCCAGCCAGAACCTTTGTATGTTAACGAAAAACTAATTGATAAATTAATTAACCTGTCAAACAATTTTTAACTAGTCAAAATCTACACAATTAATTCATCAAAATGGACACAATAAGGTTCCAGCCATAATTCTGACACTTCATGGACGCTGAAAAACGCCTCCAACTATCAGTCATTTCAAACACTGTCATAAATTATGATAAGTGTATCTACAGGGATTCAATTTTGCAACTGTATTAATTTTTTTTGAAAATTCAGTGATCATCTTGAGTCACCGTAGCACTTATATGCAGAGGGGTTTTATTTGTTGAACTGTTCCTGATTGGCTAACTTACATCGCAAATCCACCTCAGACCAAATTCACAGATTTTGATGAATATGTCTGGCATACATCTTTATAAATACATCTGGTAACACCTTATATGAATAAGGCATTTTACTTTGCATGTAAAAAAAGACGAGCTTATGTACTGTCATATTATAAGCAGTATTTTAAATTGTGTCACATATTTATTTATGGAGTTGTGGCTCTTTTGGCTTTCCGCAGCTCGACCCAAACCCACATGGTCAGACCTCTTTAGAGGAAGGCTCGCCGTTTCTTTTCACAGAATACAGCATCAGTCTTCCAGCTCTTAACACCTTTACACATTTAAATATAATGAGTTAAAAAAAAAAAACTTTTTAAGCTTAAACATTTTCTGACCTTCTGTCCAAAACGGCTGAAGAACGTCTCCACAGCTTA